TTAGGGGAACAGGGGTAGAAGCAGAGCGGTGGACAGACACAGCATGATCATGCAAGTCCTGTGATGAAGGAACTACTACTTCTTATTCAGGAAGTAAATGCAGTTGGTTTGGACTTTCCCTTTCTGCTCTTTGCAATGAGTAATTGATATGTGCCTGGGACTTTGTTTTCCTTCAGTGCGTGGAAGGAAGGTCGGGGAGGTGTTGGCTGTGGGATATGTGTATTTAGTGCTCAGGCCCTTGTTGGCTTGCTGTCAGTTACCCAGACACGCTCTTAACACTTGCTGCATCCAGTGATGTAAAAAAGAAGCAGTAAGCACCCTGTCTTGGAACAGTCTCCTATAAAAAAAATGCTGCGGGGCTGGGGAGTGATGCAGCTGCAGATAAGCAAGAAACAAAGCATGAGAAAGTGTGAGTGCCAGTCTCCGTGGCTTCCTCTGAGTATCCTGCCTGCAAAGTGGATTTATGATACAGGGAGGAATTGAGACTCGTAAGGATGAATTTATCCCCTGGTCTGGGAGGCAGTGGACAAACTTTGGCATATATCCCTTTTGTTTCAGTTCGTGGCAATGCTGGTATATGTAGGAAAATATGATAGAGATGCTTTCACTGATTTGGTAACCCTGTGTGCAGTGCTCCAGGGGCAGAATTAGAGTGTGAATGAGAATATATTTCTGCTGAACGTCTGAAATGGGAATCTGTGCTGACTAGCATGGTGAGTAAAGATGGAGCGTTACTGGGGTAAGCTCTGTTAAGAAGCTTGTGTTTTGGTTGTCTAAACAATTGTAACGGAGCTACAACTTTGTAGCTAGTTTCTTCCCAGGTTTCCTTTTCTTGCCCCTTCTCCCAGAGACTGGTGTTTTCTTCACAAATTTTAAGATTAAAGGACGTTTGCCTCTTTGTGTACCATCACTCAAATTTATACATGTTTTCTGTCCTGGACACTGTTAAGTTTAAAGGCTGTTGGGAAGAATCAGCAGAATGGTGAAAAGTACCTCAGAATGAAAGCTGTTTATCATTAAGTGACTGACTTAAGAGAGAGTTCAAGGTAGGAAGAACCTCAGGAGCCAAAAGATCAAAAGGATTGGTAGGACTTTTGTGGATTTTCCCCATCTCTCTTGAATGACTTCCTGTAAGACGCAGGCATCCATGCAGTTCCCGAAACTAACTTCTGCAGTGGCTACGGGATGAGATGGATAATAATTAATGTCAGTATTGGAGAGTCGCGGGGGAGTGTGAGCGTGGGGCCATTTCTTGGCATGCTCATTTTGCCATGTCTCAGCTTCGGTTGCCCCCTCCATGAAATGTGATTTGGGCAAAAGACAGCAACCCTGGGTCTTAATCTGAGGTTGCATGTGCCAACTGGCCGGCAGACTCCGCCAAAGGAAGGCACGTAATTCATTTTCCAGCAGCTGATCTGAAAAGCAAATGCTCGGTGCTTCTTTTTGCTTTGCACTGAGGGTGCCTTGATACCTTTTGTGTCTCCTGTATTCTTTTGTCCTCCTGGAGCCTGAGTTCTTATGACCTGGTGTCCATCAGCACTGTTGACACTTGCCACGAAATAACAGGATGTTGGTCTGCAATCCATTTTCCGTGCGTCTTCTGGGAGGACAGGAACCTTCCAGAGAAATGGTGGCTAGCCAGAGCTAGTGGTGTGGACAAGTTTATGCAGTTTTAAATGCAGAATTGACTACAGCCTCTCTAATTTAAAATTTTCCTATGTTTCAGTGTCAAGAGATTCATGCAGCATCTTTTTTTGTTGGAAGAGCAGAGCCTGATTATCCGTAATAGCAATGTTTATTCCCTCTATCTTGTTTCTCTTGCTTCTTTGTGCCATTAGCCAAATCCTGCTAACTGAGGAATGTGGCTTTCTGTGTAGAGATATTTGTGAGAGGAGAGGGGTAATGCTGTGTTCATCCACAGGGCCTGGATTTAACCAGGCTAAGCGTGATACCCAAGACGGGACTGAAAATAACCGTAAGGTCCCTGTGTGGTCAATTGAGAGAGGTAGGTATCTCCTTCCACTGGTGATAAGGAGACACAAGGACAGCCATGTTCCTAACCTAAATGCAGATGTGAGTCCTATTACTTCCTGCCTAACATCAGAAGTTTGGGGAGGACACAATTAAAATTGCAACACCTCCAGTGGCAGGCTTGTGATTACCTCTAATGCCAGGTCAGGTGTGTTAGAAAGCAGCAGGAGGAGGAAGTGCTGCTTTTCTGTCTAAGCCAGTTGCTGCCTCTATTTAGTAGTTGGTGGGTTTTTCTTGTTTGGTTGTTGTTTTCTTGTTGTTTTGGTTTTTGAGAGGCAGGCTGGATTCATCAGAAAGCTGTTCTTGTGAAGGAAAAAGAAAATTTAGGTGTGGGAAAGATAAAATTTATTAAAAAATCTAGGACTTTTCTTTTGCAGTTTTAGATTTCAGGCAAAGCCTTGCTAAGTGCTGATTCCAGCTGCTAGTGCAGCTGAATGCTTTGCAGGTACAAGTTTCCTGGTGCAGCTCTGACCCTTGCATAGGGACCTGTGTCCCCTGTTGGGAAGGTCTAGAATGATAAGGATTTTCAACTCATAGCTCTATATTGCTTTACGAGTTCTACTGCAAAGTAAATATTTGATGCTTCTCCTAACTATGGGGTTTTTTCGGAGGTACGTAGGTATTCATAGCATGTAAAAATGCAATTAATATCTTAGACAAGCATGCTGAAGTAGAGGAAGAAGTAAAAAGGAGAAATCATGGGGAAAGGCTTATTAAACACCTTCACTTCAGAGGAAATGAAGCAAAATTGCTAGATGAGCGGTGTACTTTGTAGAAATGTATTCTCGGTGAGGTCTGTTTTAACTCCATAACACTAACCTTTAAAATACTAGCTCTTGCTAAGAAATAGCTGAATGCGTGATCTTCCAAGGGAGTAAACCTCTTTCAAGAGCAGCAGCGTGTGCTAACTCTGGTAGCATGGTAGCATTTGAGTGGGAAATTTCTAGAGAATGGTTTCAAGTGTCTTTGGGTTCGATTTAGCATTCAAAAAACGTGAGGATATTCACAATTAGGATTAAAAATGTAGAGCAGTCATAGTTTACCTTGAGATCTGCTAAACCAGGAAGCCAGAAAGAAGGCGTATTCATTCTCTGATGATGAAGTGAGCTTCATACATGCAAGACATAAGACTTGTTTGCAGCCCTTCAATACAATACAGGGAGCTCATAAGGAAGATGGGGACAGACTTTTTAGTAGGGCCTGTAGCGATAGGACAAGGGGGAATGGTTTTAAACTAAAAGAGGGTAGATTCAAACTAGATATAAGGAAGAGATTTTTTACAATGGGGGTGGTGAAACACTGGAACAGGTTGCCCAGAGAGGTGGTAGATGCCCCGTCCCTGGAAACGTTCAAGATCAGGTTGGATGGGGCTCTGAGCGACCTGCTCTAGTTGAAGATGTCCCTGCCCACGGTTGGACTAGATGACCTTTAAAGGTCCTTTCTAACCCAAACCCAGCCTTGCTGGGCCCCTCTTCCAGTGCTTGACTGTCCTCTTGGGGGAAAAATGCTTTTCCTGTATCTAGTCAGACCTCCCTGTTTCAGTTGATGACCAGTGTGCACCTCCAGCAAGGAGGTTTGGGCTGCTTGATAACCTGCCTGTACATTGTAAGGCTGCTGTTGTGTCCCCCCAGGGTTTTCTGTTCTCCAGGCTGAACAAGCACGTTTCCCTCAGCTTCTTCTCACAGGTTGTGTGTTTCAGCCCCCAGCCGTCTTGGTCGTCTCCTCTGGACTTGCTCAAACATGTTGAGGACGTTCTTGTGGTGGGAGTCCAAAACCGGAGGGGGAATCTAAATGTGGTCTAACGAGTGCTCCTGTGAATGGCACCCAGGATGCTGTGGACCTCCCTTGCTGTCAGGGCACACTTCTGGCTCTTGAGGTGCAGTTTGCTCTTCACTGGGACTCCCAGTGTAGCAGACCTGCTCCCCAGCCAGTCCTTAGAGGACTGTCCCGTGGCTTTGCCAGCAGATGCTTGAAAAACTCCGGGCGTCTCAGTGGTACTGCTGACTGGTGCTTAGGCAGCAGAAACCCACCTGAAACTAGATAGCAGTGTAAATGTATTTGGGTAAAAAGGAGTGGATCAGAGCTTAGCCTAGAGCTTAGCCTGCAGCCTTAACCTGTGGAGCGCTGCAGGTGGCTTTGTGAACTAAAGCAGTGGCAAACCTGGAGTACTGAGCATAGCCAGCTACTTGGAATTAATTTCTTCAGCCCGTCATTAGTGAAATTTCAAAAGGCATTTGAGTTCATTAAGGCCCAGTGTCACAGCAAGCACCGAAGAGTGAGATCAAGTGAACTGTACTTGGGAATTTTAGTTTTTGAGGGATGAACTTGCTCACATAAACATTTTAGCCAGTTCTGTTATCTTGCCAAAATATATCTGGAGATCAGCAATCAGCCAAAAAGAAACTACCTGTAGAAGCTATAAATGAGTACAGAGACTTTAGACTAATAGCGCTTGTGATGCTTTTTGCTCTAGCATAAGACCTGAAACATCCAGCTCAGATTCCTCAGGGTTATTACCAGGTGTACAATTCTGATTAAATATGTGTTTGGGGGATTCTCCAAACAGGACTTTTAATGTGGTCCAATTTTGAAACTAGTCTTTCATAAAGCAGTTGCTGAGGTTTATGAGTGTCTATCCTGTAGTGCTTAGGGGAGATCAGAGGCAGCAAATAATCATCTTAGAAGCCTTTATAAGAGGGAAATGTAAGCTGTTTTTAAATATTTGTGTCTTTACTTCGAGGCAGTAGGAAATGTGATAGGAGTTTTAAATTAAGGCTTGCTGAAGTAAGGCCCTGGGGTATGTCCTGTCTGGCTTGGCAGAGCTACACTCCAAATCTTTGAGGTAGTAGTTTCCCCGTCAGAGTAGTTATGCTATTCAACATCATGCAACAGAGAGGAGTGTGAGTTAATGATGGGATTTATGCTTTTTATTATTATTAAAGAGATGGCAATGGATGTTTCAGATCCCAAAGAAGAGAAGGAAGAGGAGGAAGTTTCCAGTGTCCTCAGCCATGGCTCTCCTGTCAGCACAGCCAGGCCTAGCAGAAGCTGGCGCAGCAGCAGGTCAGCCACTGCAGCCCGCCAGCGTGACACTGAGAATTCACGTGCCTCCAGATCCAAGACTGGTTCCCTGCGGCTCGTCTGCAAGTCAGAGCCAAACACAGACCATCTTGAATACGGTATGTGGGAAGCCCTGGCATGAAAGAGCCTGGAGATAGTCAGGGCTTGGGAACCTTTGAAGGGATCCGGATGTGGGTGTAACTGTGTGAGCTGTATGCAGACTGTGGCTGGTACAGGCGTGGTGCTTCTTGGTCATGAGTACCTTCTGCCACCAGCACTCCTGGCACTGAATGTCGACGGAGGTATCTTGAGACAGATGAGCTCACTGCAGCGAACACAGATTGAAACCTAATGGTGACTTTTCCTTTCAGAGGTCACAGAAGAGCATCAGTCTCCAGCTGGAATCAGGTAGGAAACTCTTTATTTTGTGGTATTTCTTCCTGTGTAGTGTCTCAAGAAAGGAAAATAAGGGCCTGAGTTTTTTCCAAATAAATGCTTCTGTGAAGGGACCTATGGGGTAAATAGTAGCTCTGTTTTCATTCAGTCCTGGACCTTTGCGTTTTCAGTCGGGATTGAAGATGGACTGCAGACATCAGGAGATATTGTGGAGAAGTGGATAGTTAGATTTGATCTGGGCGTTTCATCTGGTAGCTTTATTCCTTTCAGAGCAGATGCTGTAGTTAGGTGTAGTTAGCAGATGCTGTAGTCCAAGAGGAGATTGATCTGCCTAGCCTGTCTGTTTTGGCTGTCATCATGCTCCTTAGTGCAAGCTGTTAGCTTTCCCCAGTCATGCTGGATGAGAAAGTGCTGTGTAATAGTGTCTTTCCCATCCTAGGGGATGATGCATGAATATTCTTGCAGTAGTGCTTAGGCTGTTGCTGCTAAAGTCCTCTGTTCTCCTTTTCTCCCAGCAGTGATGACGAGGAGGAGATGCTCATCAGTGAGGAAGAAGTTCCCTTCAAAGATGATCCAAGAGACGAAACCTACAAGCCCCATTTAGAGAAGTATATTGGATTATGTACTTACTGTGTTTTTAGACCCAAAAAAATTGTGACATCTTAGTTGAATGAGCTTAATACAACTCAAAGAACTTGTGCTAGTTGCTAAGGTGGAATGGCTCCCGTTGGACACAGTGTTTTCTAAATATTGCCTACAGCTATCGGGACTGTTCTTCTCTAACGGACTAAAGCCTTTAGAGCCCTGCTGGCTGCCAGGTTCTTCCTTAATCCTTGTTCATACTTCTGCTTAGAAGTGGGACTTGGTAAACAGACCTGAACTTCGATCCAGTTTTTGCTTAAATCTCTGTAAAAAGCAGACAACGGGAGGAGTATTGGAATAATATGTTGTATTTGTGTCTTTGTAGGGAAGCACCAAAGCAAAGGAGAAAAGCTAGCAAGGGGAAGGAGGAAAAAGAGAAACAGAAAGAGATTAAAGTAGAAGTGAAAGAAGAGAGTGAGTTTCAGGAAGATGAAGAACCACCAAGGAAGTGAGTAAAACTGCAGTTATATGTAGCAGTGTGTATTGTATATTTTGCATTCTTGCAAGTGTACAACAGTGTTTTGTTGTTGGCTTCCCCCCTCCTCCTCTGGGCCTGAAAGCTAATAGGGCAGAACCTTTTGTTCAGATAGAAGTCCTGCTTCCTAGTATCTTGTGCATGTTTGGCAAGGAAAAATAAAAAAGTTGGTATTTTCATTTAGTTTAAGTGGAGGGGTTTTTCTCCATATTGTGGTTTAGTCAGCCTACCTGGATATGGCCACACAGTGTGAAATACTTCAGAGCATTCTTAAAATTGGTTTCTTTTGTGATGTCTGAAGTGGATTAGACTGTATTAGAAAGCCAGTCTGAGAAGGCAACATCTCTTCTGTTATGTGCCTAGAGAGAGACACGGGAATACTTTGTATGTGTCGTGTGGTAAGTGTCCTCTTTGTATGTTTGGGACTAACATACCAGAGCTCAGGAAAAACTGCTGTGTTCTCCCTCGTTTTGGAGAAATAAAAGAACAGACTTTTGCTACCTAGTCAGTCACTAGTGCTTTGAGTGGAGACTCAAAACCTTCGGGTATGCTGTCACTCAACACTGAAGCTTTCCTTCTGGCAACTGAGGTAGATTGGATTTATGTGTCTGTGTCAAAGTTATTCTTTGGGATAGTGGAGGGGGAGGAAAAAGCAGGTTTTGTACTTTAGCTCCTCTATGAGCAATTGGAACAAATGGGGCTCCCTCTGCTGGTCTGTGGCATGGGGCTCTGCACACCTTCGTTTTAATTTCCCTTGCTGTTCTAAGCTGCTGCAGAGCTGATTTACATTGGAGAGGAGTAAGGATGCTGATATTTTGAGGACTTTTTTTTTCTGTTAGAGATGGCTTTCTGAGGCTTGTGGTTGTGTTGTTTGGATCAGACGCTACTTTTGTGCATAATAAAACCTGTGCCTCTTCTGAAGGCTTGGCTTGAATGCTGAGTTCAGCGTGTTACTGGCATGGTCTTGCTATCAGTAAAGATGTCTCAGTACAGTCTAGAAAAGACTTCCATCAATCTACTGTAAGTGTCTCTGCAGCAATATGATCAAGCAGGCACGATGTTCTGGGCAGAGCTATTGCTTGAGAGGGTGCATTTTACATGTAAGCATAGGTCTGCTCAAATGGAGCATAGAATTTTGTCTTGACAGGTGTATAAGCTGCTATAGTTAATTCAGAGGACTGTAAAATAGCTGCTAGATCATTAATCCTGTTCTTCCTAGTCATGTAGATTGATGTTTTTCATGTGGTATGAAACATTACCCAACAGAGCAGAGAAAATAGGGTGCACCATCAAATCTGGACTGTGTTGGCAAAATTAGATGTTTATAAAAAATGCATTAGGAAATGGGAGGGGTTTTGAGAGCAAACCACATGAAGCATTTATTCTCGAGAATGTTGCCTTCCTCTGAATCTGCCTCCAACTTGCACTCGATTGGTTTTTCTAGAGCTTGCAGTTAATGAGGCAATAGCTTGCTAACTGTCTGCAGCAGAAACTTACGAGAGCAGAATCTGGTGTGCTGGTGTGCAGCCTGGAAAGGGTTGAATTTAATTATAAGGTCGCAAGTTGTTTGGACAGTTGCAAGTTTAAAAGAAAAAATGTGAAGTGTGTCATGCCTGGTTGAGGGTTTTTTAAAATAGCCCTTCCTCACTCCATTGTGGCAGAAGAGTTGGTCATTTCTAACCGCAGCCTGTTGGGCTCTGGCTGTCTGATACCTGTTCACTGGTATCTGCACAGTTGTGAATGGTGGGCTGAGACATATTTGAGCTAGGCAACCATGTTCAAAAATGTGTTGTACGCTAAACCTAGTCATGCAGCTGCAGCCTGACTATGTTAGCAGAGGCAGGGTGATTTGAGGTCTGCCACATGCCATCGAATGTCATGCAGAAAAAAGTGTCACCCAGGTATCAGAAACATAGGGACCACCACTCCCCAGGGAGCGGTCTTCTGTGTGATGTGGCAGTTCTGCAGAATGCAGGGACAATTTGCCTGGAGGCCTGGTTACTTAACTTCTTTAGGGAACCTGCCCATCTATTATAAGACTGTTTCCTTAGAAACTCTTCAGATGTTTTGATCCAGAGCAGGTAGCTGACTTGCCAGAGCAGCTTGACTTGCCGGGTGCAGTGTTACTTTTCAGCCTAAAAGCATAGAAGAGTTCTGTAGTATTTCTTATAACATTTTCCTGCTTTATAGCGTACACTTAAAAAACTCTGCCCACTACCAATGTAAAGAAACTTCTTTCAATTCTGTTTCTGTAACCCTGTTACAGGAGGGGAAGGAGGAGAAAGGATGACAAGAGCCCAAGGCTGCCCAAGAGAAGGTAGGTGATCTCTCTACTCAGTTCTGTTCTGAAGACTTGCTTCCCTTGTGTCCTACATAGAGATGTTGATTGTCTCAAAGGCATCTCTCTTGCACAGTGTAGAAATATGCCTGAAAGGGGAAAAAAATAAAAATAGCAGCATGCCTTGACTTCCCTCCTTTCCTCCCCCCTTCTCCCTGTAGGTGTGGGTTTGATTTCTTCCAGCTGAACCAGGCCCCTGCGCCTTCCTCCCCCCCTTCTGAGTTAATCCCTAGCCTGGCATTGCCCAGTGATAAGGTTCTGGGAACTCTGTGTCTCCTGGGGTTTTCTCAGCTCTGCGGAGAACCCTCAAGTAGTGCTAGGAGTGGAGGGAACTCTTGGACACAGTCTCTATCAGCATAGCCCAAACAGGAATACTGAAGCAGTAATCCTTTGCTCTCACATGACTGAGCTGCATTCGCACTCATTTATCTTGCTGCTGCCCTGGCTTCAGATGCTAACCACTCTGCCCGTTTCCTTACTGACTTCTTAGGAAGAAGCCTCCGATACAGTACGTGCGCTGTGAGATGGAAGGCTGTGGCACAGTCTTGGCTCACCCACGTTACCTGCAGGTTGGTTGAAATTTTTCACTTCCTGAATGGCATGTGTGAGGGCCGGGAAGGGCCATTTGGAACAGGCAGCTAATCCTCCACTGGCACTGAAGCACTCCTTTCTAACGCTGTCTTTTTGGTAGACTTAATCAGTTGTGACTTAATCAGTTGTGGCCAGTGTGTCTCTGTATCTGTCCTGTTGCTAGATGTCCACATTCATTTGGCTTTCTTCTCTCAATGGAGATCAAAGCCTTTGTGTTCATGGTATAAGGGTGTCTTATCAGTGATTGGAGTCTGGTGGCCTGCTGAGGGGTGATCTGGGATCGATGTGTCTCAGCTCTTCTCTTAGCCCTGTAAAGAGAGAGTCTACAACCTTTCACTCTTCCTTTATAGCATCACATAAAGTACCAGCACTTGCTGAAGAAAAAATATGTGTGTCCTCATCCCTCCTGTGGTCGGAGCTCCTGCGGCATGCCAAACACCACACAGGTACAGGGAGGTGGGAAATAGATACAAACTCCTCTTCGGGTCAGTGAACAGAGGGGGGGCGGAAATGGAAAAGCCTCTAGGAGTTCTGGGGAGAGTGAAGCCAAGGCAGGTGGCACAGATACCAGCAGCAGCAGGGTATTATTTCCTTCTGGATTCCCATCTTTTAAGGAAATGAAAGAAATAGGCTATAGAGTTTTTAATTTGCCCCCCAGCAAGTATCACTCAGGGTTTCTGTAGAGGTATTATCCTAATTTGCTAGTCCTTCAGTATTGGTCAGAATGGATAATTAGCTCTTAGGAGAGTCTTAATCACGCCTTAATTCTCCAGATCAGCTGCTGTGGTGTATTGTGGGACACCTCGTCCTTTGCTATGCCTGCTGGCCTCCCTTCTAGTTCTGCTGCTTCTTGGGCAGCTTTACCTGCAACATGTGAGAGCTGGGAAAGGGAGCAGTTCTGCGGGAGAGTAATGCTCCAACTGGTGTTGCTTTTTAGATCAAAGGGATTACATCTGTGAGTACTGTGCCCGGGCATTTAAGAGTTCTCATAACTTGGCCGTGCACCGAATGATCCATACGGGCGAGAAGCCCTTGCAGTGAGTACCTCTGCTTGTCTCTTGCTCTCCTACTTTGAGGAACCCTTGGATACACCCGTTCTTGGACTGCTCCGAGAGCAGGGGCAGCTCTGAAGTAAGGGCTGGAACCTGTTCTCGGTGTCCCAGCTCTCTTTAAATGCACACCTGTAGGAGTGTTTGAGCTGCCACTTGTCTCACCTGCTCCTCGAGGCAGTGTCTCAGTAGAGATCTGAGGAACATAAGCCCTCTGCAAATAAAACTAGAAGAGCTGGAGCTATGGTGACATCCCATTTTAGTGAACCCTTGCTGTTTTCCTGGGCTGCCGCTTAGCTACTAATGTCCCCACAAGTGTGTGGGGATGTCCCTTTGTTGTAACCTCCCCCTTCTCCCCTCCCAGGTGTGAGATCTGTGGATTCACCTGCCGGCAGAAGGCTTCTCTCAACTGGCACATGAAGAAGCATGATGCGGACTCCTTCTACCAGTTCTCCTGCAACATTTGCGGCAAGAAATTTGAGAAGAAGGACAGTGTCGTGGCCCACAAAGCCAAAAGCCACCCCGAAGTGCTTATTGCTGAAGCACTGGCTGCCAATGCGGGTGCCCTGATCACCAGCACCGACATCCTGGGCACTAATCCTGAGGCCATTGCGCCGCCCACCGATGGCCAGGGCCTCCCCCTTCTTCCTGACCCCCTGGGAAGTGCTGCCCCAGCAGATTGCCTGCTGCTGACCCCTGACGGGATGCCGAAGACATACTGTGGTGGGGCAGAGCGAGTGAGCCTGGTGGCTGACGGCAAGCTGTTTGTGGGCAGTGGCAGCAGTACAAACGCAGAGGGGCTGGTCATGAACACAGAGATCCTGGGAGCCACCACGGAGGTGCTCATCGAAGATTCAGACTCCACTGGACCCTAGTGGGCAGGGAGCACGTGGGTGCTGGGACAGTTTGGACTCTGTATTTAAAAGGAGGAAGGCAAAAAAAAGGAGACACTTACTGAAAGAGAGAAAAGTTAAACAAAACTTACAATACTAGTAAATAACCGAAGGGTCTGCTCCCCTCCAGCGTGGATCACAGCACATCCTCTTTCTCCCAACCACTTCTCTCTCTCCCACTGCTCCTTTGTAGAAAGGGTCACATGCTGCCATTACCAGAGCAAGTTGGACTGAGCGACAGATTTCTCCAAGGGAAGGGGGACTACTGAAACCCTTCGCTCTACCCCAAAGCAGATGCCTTTCTGGCTCCTTGATGTGGCCCCACTTGTAAACTAGAAAGCATTTGATGTGCTCTGGACAAGTTTCTTAGGACTCCCTCTCGCCCCTGGTCCCAACTTCTATGCATCGCTGCACTCTGGTCCTTGCAGTCTCATTCTTCCTCCCGGGGCTGGGAGTTTGGCTTGGCACTTTAGGCCCCCTCAGCAGGGTGAGCTGTGAAACAGCGCACGTCCCTCTCCCCACCGCGCTCCTCTGCTCCAGCTCTGGCAGGAAGTCGAGGGAACGCCCTGGCTTATAGATCATGTTTGCTTGGAGAGGCCCGGGGGCTACGGGAGCCCTGCGTGGGAGAGGCAAGGAGGAGCATCCCAGTTTGACGACAGTAATTTGCACTTTGAACATGTTTCGTTTTTGTGTTGTGGTAACAAGATTCCTTATTTATTGATTAAAAAAGGGTCGGTATTTTTTAGTTATGTTCTTTGGGGGTGGGGGTGGAGGGGGTTCAGGCTATTTCCCAGTAGGCTCCTTCGCACTAGCGAGCTGCAGGGAGCACGTCGTGCCATCGTAACAGCAGCTGGGAGAGCTGAGATGAAGGCAGCATTCTGGAGTCAGATGTCTCTCGCAGCTTTTCCAGAGTAGAGGGAGAACCCCTGGAGAAGAGCGTGTTTGCAGTGGGAGTCTCTGCAGCAGCGTTTTAGCAGGAGGATGAGGTGAGTGATGGAACAGCTCGCTGTTGTCTCCCTCCCTCCCAGGTCGGGGTGAGCTCCTTGCATTAAATGCTCTTTTTGCCTCCCCCTTGCTCCCTGGCCTTTCAGGGAAGAATATCATTACCCAGGAACTTGTTCTCGTGACTTAGGACAGTTGTGAGCTGCTTGCTGCTGGGGGATGTTGTGCTCCTCATCCAACTCTGCCTCTCCTTTCCCGGTCTAGACAAAGATACAGAAGCAGGGACTGGATATGGTTATTCCAGGCTTGTTTATCCAAGGCAATAGACTGATGCGGGACTAAGGGGCTGTCAGCTTCTCTCCCTGCCCCCATTTTGCGGGGAGGGTGTTGTACCGCCGTGTTCTCAAAGCTTCTGTCTTCTGCACAAACACCCCTGCTTTCCATGAAATGTGGCGGTTCAAGTGTTGCCTGTCGGTGTAGGTAGGACAGCTCTGAGCCCTTGGAAAAGTTTACATAGGATATGATGTGTCTGCTATGGAGACTTGGATCTTTTTGCTCTTACCTGAAACTTTGTGTGGAGACTCAGTGGCCTTGAATTCATAGTGGTTTTGGAAGAGTAACTGGAAGTAATTTTGGAAGAATAACCTGGGCTTTTTGTTTGTTTGCTTGGTTTTTTGGTTGGGTTTATGTGGTTGGGAGCAGAGCTGAAGTATCTTGTCCAGCACAAGATCAGCTAAATTGTCTGTAGCACACAGCAACTAGGCAAAATCGGGTACCTGGGGTCTGGAGAATGGCATTAAAACATGGAATTTAATTGGAAACTTTTTACAGGAAACTGACTCTGAACACCCACTCTGTCCCCTGTGCTGCCTGGAAATCCATCTGTGGCCCAAGCCTGACAGCTTTTATTGGACCATTTGTCCTGATTTGCCCCCTCCCTTCCTCCCTTACGCTGGTATCTTTGTCAGAGCAAGTTGAAAAGCTTCTGGTGTTGGGGTGGTTTGTGGCTGAACAGTTTGCAATCCTGGTGTCTTGTGCCCTGGGTGTGGGCATCCCACATTCTTGCACGGTGACAGCAGCGTGTCTCCCATGCCTGAAGGACATGCGTCCAGCCACAAGCCTCTCCTGGAGACAAGGATGAAAGCCCAGCGTACCTGAACACAGGTCTCCTGGGACAGTGCGTGTCAGGTCCGCGGTGGTATGGTGTTAAACTAAACCAATTTCTTCAGTTGGGATGATCCAATTTCTTGCTTGGATCAAATTATTGTGATTTCCCAGCAGGAAGCTTTCGGGTGGCCAGCTGGTCCCCTCCCCTTGCAAACTAAAGAGAAGCAGCACAATGAGATGTGTTCAGACCTAACTCTGATGGTTTCACCCCCCAGCAGTGCAGGTCTTCTGTCCGGGGAGACTTGGGGCTGGCTGAGCCACGTTGTGTGGTGCAGGTCGGCCACCTCATCCTCACGCTTGCTGCAGACCATGCTGCTGGAGCTGCTTTTCGTGCCCTGCCCCTGTGCCCCGTGAGAGGTACGGAGCAGGCAGAGCCTTGCACAGAACACTAAACAGAGAGCTTGGGGTTTTGTTTTCTGAGGGATGGCATTAAAATGCTTTTGGGTCAAGGGCTTGCTCACCTCTGGTGACGGAACGTTTGGCTGGGAGGTGAGGGAGGCTGCCTCGTCCTGTGTCTGCCCCAACAGCCCCGAGCGGAGCAAAGAGTTTGCCGGCGGCCGCATTTCTGGGACGCAGAATCGAGCAGCTCATTTGCCTCCCGGCCCGGACACCTCTGATCCCTGCCACTCCCCACCTTGTCCTTCCATGCACACCTCTCGTAGCTCTCCTTTTTCTTTTTCTGGTCTTGGCCAGTTGCCTGTCTGTCCTCTAACCACAGCCTGCTAACCCCTGATGCAGGAGAGACTGGTGTAGCTCCCTTCCCACTCCCGTTTGAAACCCTAAAACTGACACAGCCCTCCTGCAGCTCCTCTTCCCCTTGATGTCTCTCCTTCACTCGCATGCAGTTTGCTTAAATAAATTATTGTAGTAGTTTGCAATAAACTTTTTTGTATTTTTTTTTTCCCTGTATTTATTTTTTTTTCTCCTCCTGGGGAGGGAAGGGAAGGGACGCAGGGCCCTTTGCCTGCTCTCGGCACTCTGGAGAGCTTGTGGGTGCTGTGCCCGGCGTGGGCAGTGGCATGCGGACAGGGGCCTCCCTCCAGGGGCCCTGGAGTGCAGGGTTTGGGCCGGCGGCTGTGCCAGCTGGAACTGGGGGGCTCCCGGAACTCGGCAGCGCTTTCTGCAGTAGCCACCAGGTGGCAACGACTCTGTTGGATTGGCCACCAGCCCTGGGGGGCTGGGGCAGTCCCCCAGGCAGGCTGGAGCAGGGCTCAGTGTACTGTGATACTAAAAGGAGACTGCTTTTCAACTCCTGTTTTTTTCTCTTAATCTGGGTCATGCATAACCAAAATAAACGTACTGAGGAAAAACCTAACCAACCAAAAGGGCTGTTTGTGTCTTGGTGCATGCAGCTCACCTCTGGTGGGTGGCTGGTGTTGCCCTGGGGTGGGCTGGGACCTCCTCCCCTGTCTGCAGCTCCGCTTTGGGGCAGGACCGCTCTGGGAAAGGGGGGTTAGACCTGGGGGACACAGTCCCATGCAGCCATGGGGGAATAAGAGGGCTGGAGGCGGCTGGGACAGGCCCCTGCAGTCTTCTGTTGGGTTTTGGGTTGCAGCCCAGCCTACAGCCGGTGCTGGGTCTCCAGCCCAGGGTCTCCCCTCAATCCCTCGCTGGCAAACCTTCAGCGCTCTGCCCTGCTCAGGCCCCAGCCCGCTGCCCAGGCTGAGATGTTGAGCAACGTATGGGCTGTGCTCGCCTCTTCCCGGCAGTGGTTTCCCGCGCTCTGGCATGAGCCGGGGGGGATTAGCGTGCTGCTAATCTCACTGGGCAGCTGGGAGGGAGGAACAGGTCAGAGCTGGAGCTGGGAGCCTGTTGCTGCTGGGCGAGACCGTTCTGGGCAAGGTGCTTGGAGTAGCGAAGCATGGGGGAATTAGGGAAATAATCTGTCGCTGTTGATCCCAGAGGCGGGAATTTGCAGTGTCGTGCCAGGCCCCAGGCGCGTAAGAGGGGGAGAGCCAGGCCAGCGGACATGTGAGCGGAGCTCCCGGCTGGAATGCACCAGCTCAGCAAGGGATTGTCCTCCCTGGGCTGGGCAGGCGCTGCGCCATGAGCCTGGTGCCTGTGACAGC